TTGGGAGAGGTTATCGGCTTAACAATTTAAAAAATATAAAACAGATAAAAATATGAACAATATTAAAATTATACAGGTATTGACAGTGATGGCCAGTGTATGTGTCATATAGGGAACGATTATTAAACTTGTGACGTAAAAAATTGACCTATCAGTAATAGTACTATTTAACACATTAGTAAATTGAATTAGTTATTGTGAACATCATATAATTAAGTGTAACTGCTCGGCAATTGGTAATGCGGTGTTATTGTCTAGATAGTATTAATTTCGTGGTGAATAAAAACTAATTTTGAACAGTATAATTTAGTAATAACATTATTAAATTTTCCTAAATAATGCAGTCGCACATTCCCTTTTTTCTATTTTATCTGTTGTACAATCGTTCATAACAAATTATCATTGTGATAGCAAAACGCCCAGCGGACCACTACAGTACTGTCAATCATTCAACCGGTCCCAGATGTCTGTCAACGAAGCATGCACTGATGTCGGCGTTTGTTTCCCCTTCTGGTCCATGTGTGTCGTCGCCGTCAAGTGGACTGGCCGTTTTGTTCAAATGTGTTTGGCCGGTCGTTTTTTCTGTCTCCAGCCTTTTTACTTAGTTTTACTTTGCGATATTGAACATCTCATGGCTGCCTAACTTTCATTTCTGGCCCTGGCGATCGAGCCATGGGTGAAGACTCATTTGTTGGCTACGGCCTGGGCATCATGATAATATAATTTGGTAACTTTGTACAGCATTCCCGTTTTTTCTTTATTTTTGTCCATTTCATTGTTTCCTCTATTCGTGCATTGTCACGAGGTTTCTTTAAAAATGACATTAATATATTTTAATATTTTAATATGATTATTCTATCTTATCTCTTGGCATATTTGCTCATTGACTATTGGTAAATTATGATAAAATATCATTTTCGTCCATTCTATCATTATTTTTATTATGTTGAGTGTANACTCTATCATTAATTTTATTATGTTGAGTGTAATAAAACCTCACATGTGTTGGACCAATCTAGACGTGCTTAGCAGTCTCAAGGCTCGGTATAAAAGGCCTAGATCCATATTGACCGATGTCATGTTCTTAGTTTGAGCATTATTGCAATGATAACCATTTTATTTTATTCAATATTGGAAAGTACGATCCTGTCCCTTGGTCAAATCGAACATAGTCAATACAGCAGTGTCAGAGATTATTTTCTCCCTCATGTCCCTTTTATTTTATTTGTCCTTTAGCTCATTTAATAATTTGTAATAATTTTAACTATGACTTGAAATATGTTATATAAAAGAATTTGTAATTTTATTTTATTTTGAACATTTGTAACTGACATTTATTTTATTGTACTTTGGGCATTATTATTTTAGTTAAACTCAGTATATAAAATAGAACATCATCGCCTATACTACTTGTCTACCAGTTTTTAATTCCTTTTCCCCTAGAGTTAAGGTAAAAACTTAGTAAATTAAANTCCCATAGAGTTAAGGTAAAAACTTAAATTAAAACAGTAAATTAAAAAGTAAATTAAAACAACAAATGTGCCAGTTATATTTAAAATTCCACTATGCTCCGGTCTGGTAGAGCCTCGGCTAGTGGTGAATCCAACTTCGTTTGAGTTTATGTGCTTCATCGGTGATAACCTCACGGTTAGTTATCGGTGAACGTCACAAACTGATAAAGAATATTGTGTGTATAGCGTTCACCTTGACAGCAACAGTACAGTTTTCTGATTACACGGCCGGATATAACATACGCGCGCCCATTAGCAAAGGAAAACAGTCAGTCTATCTCTATCATAAGATTCACATTTTGTCACGTTACATGTTAAAACATTTGTTATACTCTTCCTATACCGAAAATAATTTAATATGAATACAGATTTTTTTTTATAAAGAAACTTTTGTACTTATTATAATCGTGTAATATCAAAACACTGTGCTTCAAAATAATACAATTTTAGTTTTAGAATAGAAAAATATACAAATAAGTTAAGTTACCCCTATTCAATATACCGCATTCATAAAAATTACAGAAAAGAATTTTTTATAATTAAAATAGTATTTAAAATATAAACATAAGTTATGAAATTCTTTATGAATCGTCATTTACTAACTTTAAGTTGCTAAGATAGTAGATACACTTGTTAACTTAAAAACTTATAATTGGTTGACTTTTGAACTTAATTGTATCCATAACTGTATATTATAATATTTGTATATTCACATAACAAGAACATTAAATTATTTCAGTTAAGATAAATTTATATTAAATTTGAATTTCTTAAATGAAATGTTACAATGAAAAATAAGATTAAAATAAAATAACAAAACAACAATTAAACATAGAAAAAGTAAAAAAATGTTTGGTGGTATACAAATAAAAATTTCAATTTATAGTGAATATTAAGAAAATTGATATAAAATACAAAAATAAAATTTCATTCATAAAAATATTAAAAGAATAGCTCACAAGCAATAATTTCATTTTTGTGTCTTAATCTTATAAAAGGCATAAAATTTGCATTTATTGGTGTTATATCTCCTCGAGACATTTTTTCTGCCAGCTCAATAGTAAATGGCCCACAATCATGTCCATTGGTTTGGCGAGATGTCTCGCCTATTTGTAATGTCCATGTAGAAGCTTTTCCTTTTTTGTCCATCTCCCATTCAATTAAGAAATTTTTTAATACCATTGGATAAGGACCCTTATACGACTTAAGACTATCATATGATGTCACAGTCTTTTCAGGTATATTAACCACTGTCAATATCCAATGATTCCCATATACATTTATGGGCACAAAAAGTAATTTTACTGTGTGAATATCTTTTTTTATCCATCTTCTCACAGCTGGATAACCTCCTCGAAGATACGCTACAATAAAATCAGTGACAACTGCATAAACTTCACCTTCTGACCGTGTTACTATCATTTTAATGTACTCATTAATTGTGTCTGAAGTATACCATGATGTGGGCGACTTAAATGAAGGTGCATTATACTGATCAAGAGATTTTGTGTTCTGATCTTGCATTACTTCTGCAAGTATAAACATTTTTCATAAAATTAATAAAAAACTTTGTTGAACAGTTTACAGTAAATTAGGTTGATTTAAGATTTTGGAACATGAAATTAAACACGTATAATTACTTTTGTTTAAAACGTCCATGGATCCATTTAATAACAAGCCTCTGCAGAGGTTATATTAATTTAATACGTATTATAATTATTAATTATGTTTAACAAGTAATCTTTTTTTATTTTGTTTTATATAAAATAAATAGATTAAATAACTAATTACCTTTTTCTTTCTCTGGTACTTTTATTACTTCAACAGTGGACAGAGCAAGTAAATTTACGTCATTCGGCGTATTTAAGGTCAAAGGATTAGAACTAACTTTTGTCTCTAAAATAATTTATGTTTTAAAATATTACATATTTGTTTCAAAAATCAAAATGTTTATTATATTATTTTTTAAAAATGAATTATATTTTAAAAGTTGTATACTTTTTATGACTTTTTCATCTTCTTCGGATGAACTTCTTTTTAAATTTGGTCGAACAGTAGTATTAGAAGAAATCTTAAAGAGTTGTTTTTTTATTTCGGATTTTTTGCTTTCCAAATTTTTGTTATAAAAACTCTTAACGGATCATAAAATATATTTAATTATATGATAAATTTATTTAGGGAATCTGCTTTAAATCCAAAAAATGGTTTAGGATATACCCTAAAATATTTTTATTGAAAAATAGCATAATAAAATATACCTTTTCTAACAAATCAGCTGATATTAATAGCGTATTGTCTTTTGAAATTGCCATATTTCTTTTTTCTGTTGAATTTAAAATTTCATTTTTATATTTTTCAGATTTTTCATTCTGAAAAAGTGTTCCGAATTCTCTTTGCTGCATCATATTCTAGGTAACCAAAGAGATATTTAAATAAACAAATAAACTATACTTAATATTATATTATTATCTTCGATAAAAATTGAATTTCCCATAAAAATCTAATAGAAAAAATAGCANATTATTATCTTCGATAAAAATTGAATTTCCCTAAAAATCTTATTGAAAAAATAGCAGAATAATATTAAACATTATGCTATCCCATTTATTTATATTAAGGGGATTGATAGTTTATTTTATATTTTTGAATCAGACAAACCCCAATAACATAGCTAAAT